TGTACAGCCGCGCATGTGACTGGAAACTCGAAGCTCTAAATGCTACTGTCCAAGCTCTGCACTATGGTGGTGGACGGAGGAAATCCTGCACTACCTTATATACCCTATGCCCTGGGAATTACACTTTTGTGGGTGCTGTAGGTTGTGCAAGGTTTCCAATTTTTCAACTGGCGCGGAAACCGCACGGACGTACCCACCCTAAACCCTAAACTCTAAACTCAAAAGAAGTACCCTGGATCCTTCAGAGAACTTCAAAACCCTAAGCCTAATCCTTGGTCCTTAGACCTGACTGATGAGGGCTTCATTAACTCTAGGTTGCCAGGATGATTGGTAGAAGTTCTAAGCTCAGATGTTTCCTAGACCATAAACCCTAAACCCTAAACCTTAACCACAACACACCCCAGATTCAGCGGGTCCTCCAGCTGCTCCTGTGCTTCGGCTCGAGCGGTGGACACAGCCTGGGCCGACTTCGGCTGCAAGGGTTGGGGTTTAGGGTAGGGTTTAGGGCTTAGGGTTGGGGTTTAGGGTTTAGGGTTTAGGGCTTAGGGTTGGGGTTTAGGGTGGAGGGTTTGAGGTAAAGGGCTAGGATTGAAAGGTTTTGGGGTTCAATGTGTTTAAGGTTCAAGGGTTGGGTTTAGGGTTTGAAGGATTGAGGTTCAGGGCTTGGGCAGTGGGGATTCTGGCTTAGAGAAGGGCAAGCTCCCTCAACATAGGCATCTGAGAATCACAATGTGCTTCTAGGCGGTGCCATAGGGGCATTGTATAGTAACATCTTGTCAGTATTTGTTTCTGGCAGATTCAGGGAGGATCGGCAACCTCTCGGGAAAGAGGTGCTCTGATCTTAGGCACATTCTACCCTGGGCGTTTTGATCTAGGGACCTTGCGAGGGACCAAAATATTCAGAAAATGACCATCAATCTCTGTGGACACGCAAAGCCTCATGGATCTGTCAGGGATCCTGCGATGCTTGTTTAAACAATATTGCCTCGACGCTTCCACTTACTGGAGGTTAGTACAGGGAATGAAGGAGTACAATCCCTGTGTACTATAATCCCTTACTCCACTTACTGGGGGGGTAGTAGGGAATCAATGGTATATAACTCTTGTATGATAAATTCCCTTACTCCTTACCAACCGTCTTGAGGTTACACGGGCCTTTCCATCAAAGCACTACTGCCGTATTCTACTTGTGAGAGCCATCTTTTTGTGAGGGGAAGGGGTCCCTATCATAATGCCCATGGTATTTTGTGTAGTATTGAAGATCCGCGCATTTAAGGAACCCCTGACAGCCCAGAATCTTTATAATCCTATTTTCATTGTGTTTCGCATGGTCTTGTCCATTTGATTCTCCATTATTGGGGGTAACACACCTAAACCCTAGATAGCATTTTCCATTCCATTACCTAGGAAATACTGCCGGACCATTTCTGCCTGGCAGGTTCTGCCAAGCATGTTCAAGGCCTTGGAACAAACTACAAGGGCTCTAAAGGACAACTCCTACAAGAAGCTCTTGTCTTGGTCTACCCAACTCATGAAATGAGTTATAGTCCAAACTCCTAGTATCCCCCCTATAACCCTCCCCTAAATAAACCCTGTATAACCCCCCTGAAGGAGTTTAGACTACGGCTCAAAAAGGGCTACCCAACTCATGAAATGGAGTGAGGCATCGGCATCCCAAAGATGAACTTTTTTGGGGGTCCCCAGAATTGGGGTCCCCTATTGAGGGAAACTACCATATGGGCACCACATTAGCCCACACTTTTTCCGCTTGGCAACCGTGGAACAATGGTGTTTCGATTTCCCCTCAGGACTACCCTGGAGAACTCGGCATTTCCAAAAGCTAGGGGCCCTTGTTTGAGATCCCCATATATCCCGTATTCTATCTACTTAACGGGGACTATACCCTAAACCCTAAATAGTTGTTTCCGTTTTCTTTTCATTGTCCCAATACAACCCACCATATTCTATCTACTTAAGGGGACTATAGATCTGTGGGCCCCTTGCTCCTGGAAAGACAACCTTCGTTAACTGATGTTGAGATGGACAAGCAGACCTAGCAGCGAGGGATCTGGGATTTCGATTAGGGTTTAGGGCTTAGGGTTCTAGGATTTAGGGTTCATGGTTTAGGGTTCAGGGTTCAGGGTTTAAGGTTTAAGGTTCCGGGTTTAGGGTTTAGGGTGCTTATACTGGAGGATTTGCGGCACATTCTGGGATAATTGGTACTTTCCCGGAAGAGGAGGAACCTTAATTTAGACCGCAAAATCCTATAATCCTTGTTATGTGGACCCCAAAAGGAACCCCTAATTTTGGGAAACCCACAATCAAAGATACAAGGGAAGTGGAATGGTTTCGGGATCTAGGATGCCGGGTTAAGCTGCAGACTTCCTGGTCTCCGCAGCTAGATGTACTCCGATTGGGAACGCGAACTATGCACAAAAATGCAATTTCCTAGGATCCTAGTAAACGCCGAACAACTACGAGTAGAACAGCGTGCTCTCTGGTAAGTTTGAGGCTGGGTCTTGCCCGTAAGCTAAGGGTTTAGGGTTTAGGGTTTAGGGTAAGGATCCAACTGCCTAAATAGTAGATACTTGGACAGCAATGTGCCCATACAGAAGCCTGTCTTGGGCCCAAAGGACATAGGATGAACGTTGGGACCCAGGACCCTAAACCCTAAATAGTAGTTTCCATTTTCTCTTCCATGATCTCTATATTATACACGTATACAATATATTGGGACCCTCAACCCTGATCGCTGCCGGCTGATGCCATGTAAGAACCTTCCTCAGGGCGCCCAGGGCTGCCTGCGTGGTTGCGGTGCAGAACAGGTCTTGGACTCGATTGCAGCGCTACTTATCTTTATGTGACTTAGCTAACTAGTTCTTCGGATTTAGGGTTCCTCATGAGACTTAACAAGCTGGCTTATGCTTTACTAAGCTACAGATACCCAATCTGGCCTAGGTTCTATGACTTGACTCTCCATGACAAGTAACTCATTCTTGGAAAAGTTGAACCCTTCGATTCCTGCAACGACAAGTTCCTACAGTTCAATAAAAATGTGCCTTCCTATTAGCGGGTAAGACTTTTATACAGGCTGGGGCTTTGGCACCGAATGGCAGTTCTTCCACATTAGCACCCAGGAACACACAGGTCCACCTTAATCTGCGGATCCCTAAGAACTGCCAAGCCCCACAATTGGTTGTATTTGGCCGCAAGTACTGTAGTCTGAACGGCTTTTGGTACCAAAAGCCTTCAGACTTAGGTCTTTGGATCCTTCGGGATCATGAAAAGGAAGGCGCAGATATCGAAAATGAAACGAGCACCACCAGCCAAGTGAAAACATGGTCAAGCACATCACTTTGTCATTGGTTTACATGTGGTAGTTTTCCAAAATGGGGGACCCCATTCTAGGACTCCCCAATACGAAAATCCTTCTTATGGGACCCCCAAAACAGGTACCCCTAATTTTTGGCAACCCTCGCTTCACTTGAAAGGCTACGTTTCTCCCCTGCGAGCAACGCCAATCAATCCTGCCCCTGCGATGCCCTATGCCTCCAAAAGCCTGAAGGCTCCCCAGACCTGGAAGCCCCTCTTCGGACCCCTTTAGGGTTCGGGGTTTAGAGTTTAGGGTGAAAACTTTGTAAGAAAAATGGCGCTGCAGCACCACCATCTAATCTGTTACTCATCATTATAATGGTCATAGTTCTTGAAACGAAGACACCCTCCTTACGACCCACATACCCCTAACCTTTTCAAGAACCTACAGCTGCCGGTGGGTAATCCAAAGCCCAACCGTCTGCCACAAATCTAATCCCCTCCCCCAAATATTAAACCCCCGCACCCCCTAAGATTACATACTCCCAACATATTACAATATACCTTACAATGGGAGTAGTCAATATCAGGGGTGGGGGGGGTCTAATATTATGGTGGCGGCGGGGATTAGCACAGGAAGACCTGCGAGCGCCCTCTACGCTGGTCGAGCGGAGGCAAGGTCTTCTGTGCCGGACGACCTTTCTCCGCAAAAGGTAGAAGCCTAGGGTTTAGGGCTAATTTAGGGTTTGGGGCTCCTACATGATTTCCAGTGTTTTGCAGAGGTCTATTTGAGGTACCCTCTACTACACAAGGAACTGACGACCATAAGCTTGCCAATACACTCGTGTAGTTTCCATGTTCTTTCTTACTATCCCTATATAACCCCAATAGACTATAGTAGTTTCCATTTTCTCTTCCAGGATACTAGGGTTTGGGATTGGGAGCTTGGGGTTTGAGGGTTGAGGCTCAGGGGTCCAAATTGCAGCCAATTCCTGAAAATTAGGCGCCCACAAAACGTCTGGAGTCTTGCCTTTTCTGCATGAAGGGCTTGTGAGAGCTCTGCCTTATATTGCAAAGCGACCTCAAAAAACCCTAACCCTAGAATCCTAGAGTGGATCGCGGGCACATCAAAATTAAAGCCCTAGGCCCTTACTCTTACTGTGCCAGCCTCTCTCATATTCATCCAACGTAGATTCTGCAATTGACGGGAAAACCCATGGAGGAGGGAGACTGCAAGGAATGCTTAGCATGAGTAAAGAGCACGCACGCAATGAGCTAAGGACAGGTTCTTCCACTTCACGGGGTTGAGGGTCTAGAGTAATGCGACATTAAGGAGTGCTCGTAGGTAGAAATCTGGCATGAAGATCACAATCTCGGAGACAACGAGATAAGTAGACAACATCTGTATGTGATATGATACAGGTATTCATATGTGCTTAACTCTATACGCGCTCTGAGCAAGCACTCGCTACCAGCATTGAGTTCGATCTGGGCTTCACTTGAGACTATGTCAAAAGCATCTACCTTGGGTCAAAGCCTCGAGAACATTGGAAAGACATCTGAACAAAGAATGACGAGATAGCAATATGTCAGGTCATCATTAACTTGTTAAGTTCTAGGAGTGGTATGAGGAGACATGGTGAGACTTTGCATGAGGAAGTGCAAGAAATCAATAGGAAACAAGCAGCTCATTCCCCAAGCATGCTGTCGTACTCGTCGGAGATTAACCTGCGGGCTCTAGTTTACCCAGGGACTGAATGTTGAATTGAAGGAGTTGTATATCGCAAGCCGTTTGAGCCTTTCCCAAGTCTCATTCCGCCAGTGTGTCGGAAATTTCAGGCCACGTCTGCTTTGGCACACAAGGCTGCTGGGTTTGGCTCTGTGATCTGGTTTTTGCAGTGCGGACAGGAAGTATAGAGGCGTTTGGGTGTTTAAATTTGGAGCCAGGTGAGTTTTGAAGTCAGTGCGGCTTTTTATCGTAGGCAAGGTCCCACATCGCCTTTTCTACAAGGATGATGATGACTGCTCAGCGAAGCATGAGGCTTAATGTACGACAACAAGCAACCCATGTTTTCTCATTGTGATACGTATATGTATACCGTATTATAAGGTTTGAATGGAAGTATATACTTCATGATGTATATATGTCCTATTATATACGCTTCTTTGGTAGGCATGATTGTAGGAACTCTGCCCCCACTCCCATACCCAGACCCAGAGCACGACATGCCAAATCCTGGAACCTGAGGCCCGTTCCCCTAAGCCCTAAACCCTAAGCCCTTAATGTTGCTTTGGAACTGTCCTCGAATTTGGGGCAGAATTTTTGGGAGGGCAGGGAACCTTACATCCTCTTAGACCCAAATAAGTCTTTTGCGTATGTAGCCTGTACTTTATGAATCACAGAATTGAATCGAGAATTGACTATGGATCCTTGCCACATGTCTCCCCTGCCTAGTAAGGCCTGGATACTCATGAACTTCTACTCGTAGGTATCAATCGCTATGCAAGGATCCCACCCTTCAGGAAGTAGGGTGCCAGAATACAGCCTTGCAGGAACCACACCCGCCTTCAAAAAGGACGCCCCTACCCAGACGCTCCCAGTCTTGTAAGAGCCACCCCCTGAAGTCTTGACTCTAAACCCTGCGCATTGCAGGAGACTTCTTAATGATTCCTATACACTTCGTCAAAGGCACCTCATGGCAACGTCAAGCTTCTGCCCGAGAGTGTCTCAGCACAGGAGAGGGTCCAGACACATCACCATTACCATTATGGAGCTGTGCTCCCCCCCCAAAAACGCATTCTACAGAATGAGTGCTGGGTCCTACTTCCGTAATGGAGTTCGGAGCTTTGACTTTCCTAAATTCTGCAGAGGGCACGCAGAATGCTTAGGGTTCATATGATCTATAGTCTAAACTCCTTAAAGGGGGTTATATAGGGGACTATATGGGGGAGTATTATAAGGCTTATTAAGGGGGATACTAGGAGTTTAGACTATAGCGCATACGAGGTACAATTATTACGTTCCAAACAATTTGTGACTAAGCTGGAAAAAGGACCCCCTACGTCCACTCTGATCGGTCCCTCGGTAACCCTAGTATTGACATCAGAAATTGGCTTACTGTATTGTTCATAGGGATGAAGAGATCCGTGGGCTCGAAGGGTCTATATATAGGGTGCATAAGACTTATTGGGTTCAGTTTGAATGCACACTTGCACAGGTTGCTCTAAACCCTACACCCCTAAACCATAAAACCCTAAGCCCTCTGCTACATGTAGCATTCAGATTGAGGACGAGGACTTCCAAGGCGGCCTAGCGCCCCGAACTGGAACCCCTTTGATTGAGTGTTTAGGGTTTAGGGTGTAAGGGTTTTGGTAACTCCCAGCCCCCTAAAATAGGACCCTATTGAGCAATAGGGTCCTAATTATGGGGAATGGGGTTACCAACGTTCCTTCATAGAAGTGTTGGAAGTCCCAAATGATGCATGTGCCTGAAGGGTCTACATAATGATGAAAGGCACAAGCTCCACAAGGCCTCGTACCTTTTGTGCATTTCTAAGGGTTGCCTACCTTCTATCGCTTGAGCTAAAAGCTACTATTCAGGGATTAGAGGTACAAGATATATAAGAATATAGGTTAAAGGGTCCAAGTACCCAATAATTCGCTTCTTGGCTCTTGGGTCTATAGTAATTATAGTGCAGGCTTAGGGGTGAGATTATTCGGTACTTGGACCCCTAGGGTTTGCAATTCCTGGAGACTTCCCGACAGGGTCCTGGTACATTTCATACGTACTAAGGCCCAAGGCCACGTTTCTGAAAGTCCGTCTGGGCCAAAAGGTAAATTGACATACTATACAGATATCTAGAGAATCTTTGGATTCGCATGTCCTGAGCACCCGATCCTTCCCAAGACTTTTCTTAGGGCTCTTGCTTAAACTGAGCTGGCAGAACCTCTGACACCGCTTCACAGCAAGCCTTCACCCAGACCCTCAGGACCAAAACCATTGACACCCTGTTCCCTCTCTGCTTGATCATCACCACAGCTCAAGACATCACAGGAATCGCCGTCTGATTGAAGATGGAAGAGTTCCAACGATCCAGACAACTACACGAGAAATCGCACGTATGTGCATTCAGTGCTCCGAACATGGGCAGTGAGAAGACAACACCCCACGCAATCCAGGTGCCATTGTACTATATTCTCAGGCCCCGCGATAAGTATGCACAAACACCCCAAGTACATCCTCCATCGGTACCTGGAGACCTCAACCGATAAATTGTATGTTGCGAGCAGGAACTGGTCAGACGATCGAGTCTGAAGTTGATGTCATCCAGTTGATGGAGGACATTCCTTGCAGCCCAGGAAGACGATAAAGCGACAGGGGAGTATCCTAGGTATAAATCGAGCCTGCCATGCAGTCCTGAGTTGCATCTACTCAAAGAAGAGTGACCGCTGACAGGTTACTGACCTAGACGTCTCGAACAACATCTATATGTATATACACATACACACACACATATATATATATGTAGATGGCAAGCAGCTGCTGTCAGAACTCTGCCTGCTAGCCCAACGTACTGAATAATGCATGCGAACATTTCATGGCGTCAGCTAGTTTAGATTATGGTCCACATCAATACTAGTTACTAGTTCATGGATGTTGGGCCGAGAAAGATTGCACTGATGTTTCAAAACACTATAAGGCAAGAGGAAAGTGCAATCTTACAACTTACTCTAGAGGGGAATCGAGCATCCCGGCCCTATCCAAACATGCCATTTGCACGGATTAAGGCGCGCAGGTTCTACCGTGCATTCTGGGGGCTTGCAGGGATTCATGCTGGGATTTCAAGGTTTCTCGAAACAGGTCCTTGGGGATTGGTAACCCTTGGATTGTGTAGTGATTCTTGGGGAAACTCCCAGTTGGGCGGCTGTAGGTGGGCTTCACTTTATGGGCGCTTCGGCCACCTCTGAAGGAAAGGTTTGGGTGCTGGGGGTTTAGGGTTTGGGCGTACGGGTGCTTAAATTCCAAGCTTTGAGACACGAAGAATCCAATGCCAAACCACAGCAAAGTAACCTGTCAGCTTTGAATTGTACCTCTCATCTTCAATGAACAGAGGGGCCCAGGGTCTTGCGTTTTGATTGCAAGTGCTCCTGTTAGGCATCAGACCCTTTGGGAAGGCACGCGTGACAAAAAAAAAACCTTCAGAATCCATGCCCTATGGGCTGTTCTGAAAATTAAGGACCCATTTTGGTTATAGATTGTATTACAGCACTGACTAGTTTGGGGTACCCAAATGGGACCCGAATTTTTGGAACTGCCCCTATCCCTTGAACTCTGGCTACGCCACTGCCTTAGGCCCGGATGAGAAGGGCCAAAACCCTAAACCCTACACCCACCAGCTGTCTACGCTGGGGAATATGAGCTATAGTCAAAACTCCTTCGGGGGGGTTATATAGGGAATTATATAGGGGACTATTATAGGGGCTATGAAGGGGGATACTAGGAGTTTAGACTATGGCACATATGAAGCTGAGCACTCAAGGTGTAGTCTCAAACTAATGCCTTCAGCCGAACTCCTACCTTAAGAGTTCAGGGTTTCGGAAGATTTTAGGTGGACCCCCCACCCACCAGTAGCGAGAAGGGGTAATAAGGATTATGGTAGGGTCCTCTTATCTTTCTATCATACCACTATTGCAGGGTGGGGGGGTCCTCCTAAGGGAGATTTAGGGTTCCCCCATTAAACATCGTCCGTGGCTCTCCAGGTCCTCGCGGGAAACATCTTCCGACCTGGCAGGCGTGCTGGCGCTCGTGCCGATGCGGCTGAGGTGTCATCTGCTGCAAGGGATTGTGGTACGTTCGTGGCTGCGACTCATCTCTAGACCTCAACAGTGGGTAAAATATTGACGCACAACTCATATTCCTTAAGCAGGCAACATGTCTTTATTCCATCCACTTTGGGGGTCCAAGTGGTCGCATCTTTCACGGGTGAATGCTGACGCATGTATTCCCTATAACGCCTATGTAACCCCTGTAATCCCTGTAGTTTGTATTTTCTTTTTCCAGTATCCCTCTGTACCCCCTATATCCAGAAACCTCATCCAAAAGCTGCAGGAAACAATTTGAAGGCTTCAGTTCTGTAAAGTTCAGGCCGGTGGCCCGTGCTTTGAACGACCCTATGCTGAGGGTTTAGGGTTTAGGGTTTGAGGGGTTTAGAGATTACGTTTCAGGGTTTAGGGTTTTGCCTGCGCAGCGTCTTCAAACCCCAAGCAAGGAACAACAAAAACACATCCGCATGAATTTTGTAAGCATGCTGCCCATAAGACTGCTAGAGGTCATCCATTCGGTCATCATTTGGTAGTCTCCCTAAAATAAGGGGACCCAAATATAGATTCCAAAAAATTAAAGTCCTTATTGTGGGGATCCCAAAAGGCTACCTCTACTTTTGGGAGACGCCTCCTTAAGCCCTTTGCCTGGGGTGGAGGAGATACCCTAAACCCTAAACCATAAGCCCCACACCTTGGCAGAGCAGTTGACCCAGACCTCTCCTTTGAAGCTACCCCTGCCCTAACCTTTTTTACACGCACTTTAGGGGCCTAACAATTTCAAGGGGGTCCGTTGCCCCTAAACCCTAAACCCTATTCTACAAACTAGGTGTGGCTTTAAAGAGGATAAGATCTCTAATCATGTAGCCTAGAGTTGCCGGAGCCAGCATTGTCCTTAATATCTGAGCCATAGTCTCAGCTCCTTTAAGGAGATCATGTAGGGGATCATACAGGAAACTATATTAGGGGTTATTAGGGGCCCTTGAGGGGATTATAGAAGGGATTATACAGGGAACTATTATAGGGGTTATTGGGGGGAGATACTAGGCCCCTAAACCCTAAACCCTAAACTCTAAACCCTAAGGAGTTTAGACTACAGCTCGTCTGAGCCATTGACCCGTAGAAGAACTTCTCCCTGTAGTCCTGAGCTGCGCGGAAACGCGGCGCGCTTTCCAGGTGAAGATTTGGGGGTGTAGGGCTTCAGGTTACCCTAGGGGTCCAAGCACTTAATAATCATATACTTACCCAAAAACTGCACTACAATTACTATTGCCAAAATCCCAAATACCAAATTATTGGGCACTTGGACCCTCAGGGTTAGGGACTTGTAGGGTTGAGAAAGCTTCACCCGTGCAGATCCCACTAGGTCCTTGTTGTTGACACAGGTTGATGGCATAAGCGCCATGTTACTCAGCTGGCTGAGGTGGGTTCCCTCAAGATGAAAGATATACTTACCTCCAGGTCTACCCACGTCCAATGTAAGTACTGTTTATACACCTTAGGGCCTTATATGGCCCAACACCCATGTCATTGATAGACATGGAGCTCCAGGGATATTTGCGTATCTTTTGCACCCTGCGCATCATGAGTCCAGATGCTCATCAACAGCTATAAGCTTCTGCAAATGACCTGGCCATCAGGAAGGAAAAACATAACGGCCACAGACCCTACAAAAGTCGACCAGACCATTGTTCTATATACTACTGGGTCCAGACATTGTATACACCGTTCGTATCGTTCCAATAGTAGATGAGTCGCATGGAGAAGTGGATCCATGCAATGAATTTCATAATCGCTCCAACAACCCATTCCTTCTTGCCTGACCAATGGAGGGCAAATAATGCTATAGTTTAATCATCACCAGAATTACGAGTCTTGTAGTTGTAGTAGTACGTGCTAACAATAACATGCAGTGAGGTAGTGTTGATACAAAACATTCCCACATGGCCTGATTATACTGGAGAACCACAACTATCAAGGTAGAAGATACACAGGTGTAGGGTCATACAGGATTGTTAGTAGCCACCCTATAAGACCCTGTAAAAGCCCAGTTTCCGTTTTTTTAAGTGCCAACAGTGGCTTCCATTTCCCTGTGCAGACGAGCAGCAGACCGATGGCAAATCCACCTCAGCTCAACTAAGGGCAGACCTTCGGGAGCCTAGAGATGTGTGGGGATTCTTGGCAACTCTAAACCCTAAACCCCCAAGCCTTAACTTGCAGGGTTGATGAGGTTTCGGGTGTTTAGGTAGCTGTACAATGATGATTTTCCCAACCTCAGGCCAGTGAACCCTTGAACCCCAAAGAACTGTGCGCGGGTTTCTCAAAAAGGGGAGCCTCATTAGGGACCTTCAGGATTTCTAATGATGAAAGCCTGAAATCGGAGAGGTCAAAAACCAGAAGCCTCTTCAAAAAGCTCCCATATGATAGTCAATCGAAAAACAGACCCCATCAATGAGGGAAGTGGGTGTCTGAGCCAAAGCGAACACCTTGTAAGCAGGAAGGTCCTGCTCCCGAGTTCGTAGATGCTTTACAGCTTTGCAAAGATCATGTTTTTGCACTGTAAGGGCGGCAGCTACATGTACTTTGTAGCCATACAGTACTTTTATCAACCGTACACCCCCGACATTGAGCTGCATGCCTCTTGCTGTTGCGGCTCCAGAAACCGCACTACCGACATCAGTAGGTAACCATGATCCCCGCGTAACTGCACCTCCGCTGATGTACTGTATTCCAGTCCAAGCTTCACTATGGGCCGGGGTACGCGGAAAATCAAGCACCTACCCGAAACAAACAACGAGTAGCTATCTCTTGGAAATTTGCGAAGGTCCAGCATAAAAAAACTGGAGTCCCAGACCCCGAGGAGATTTGCAAAGTTGCTTGTCTCGAGTAGAGTTACAATGGTTTCCCCTCTTACTTCCGATCCCTGCATTTTGAAGACTTGAGCTCCAGGTTTATCTTGCGCAACTCTCGCGCTTCTGTACAACCAAGCTCTACTCTTACCAAAGAAGTTGACCAAAGGCTTGCTGGGTTGTTGTTAAGGAACTTTGTTTAAGCTACCACATTATGGATATATAGCAAGAATTCCTTGTCATAGTAAAATAGCTTAAGTTCCTTAACAGCAACCCAGGTTTTGCGGCAAGATGACTAGTTGGACAGCTGCCTTACTCACGGAAAACCTATCGTGTTTCGGTGTGATAGTTTTCCTTGTCATCATCTTCCCCCAACAGAACTTCACGTTTGACAAGTGTAGTGGTTCTTGATGAGTTATACAAGTGTCGGTCATTAAACGCAAGCTTTCTCACAGAATCCTCTGAACTTCCTTTAGACAAAGTCTGCGGGTCTCGGTTCAACCCGACTTCCAGGATCACGCCATGACTCGTTCTAAGCAAGCTTTGCACTACCCCACATAGGTTTCTGGTTTAGAAATAACTTGAATATCCTGTATAGAGTCTATGACCCTTCAAACTACTGAAGAGCTTTCAAGCTTAATGCACGCTCATCCTTCTGCCCTTAACCCAGTCTCAATACTCATTGATTGGGTTTAGGGTTGAAGACTAAACTCTCAATCCAAAAGCCTAGACTCGAAACCACACAGCACCACAGGAGCTGTGGACTAAAGTTAGGTATGAGGGGATCTACCGGGGGATATATAGGGGGCATAGGGGAACCTACTTAAGGAATATACTGGAACTCTAGTCCATATGTGACATATTCACAGTTTCCATTTCGTTGTCCTTCTTCTTTGTCCATTTGATTCTCCATTGTTGGACTAGCTATAAGCCCTTCAAACCCCAACCAACCCTAAACCCTAAACCAACCCTAAACCCTAAGCCAAGTTGCAAGAACTTGGAGCTCTGAATTTCAAGCTTGCAGCTGCTCGCGAGGTAGGCCCTCAATTGACAGCATCGGGGATGTAGGGTTTGAGCCCGGGTCGCTGTGAGAGTGCGCTTTTTTCCATAAATTCAGCCTTTATCCGGAAGTAATCAGAGCCAGATATCAACAAAATAACATGGGATG